CAAAAAAGAGTTCTAAAATATTTTATCTCTGTAATTCTCTTTATACAATTGGACAAAGTAAACCTTCAATGAACAAGAAGACATGCGCTATGATTGTATTTGCTAGTTCTCAAGAGAAATGAAAATGACTTCTTGAAATGCTTTTCGCTCATTTCTGCAACCTTCTTGCACAGAAAGTGAAAGAAAAATTGCCTTTGATTTTGGCATCTTTCATATGGACATAATTCACACAAACACAGAAGATGGGACTGTCAAGATCCCCAGAATCCTTCAGTCTATTTTTTTTATCATATTCAGTTTGTTATAAAAACCAATTCCTAAATGCCAAGCTTTGTCTTGAATCAGTAGATCTTCAGGCTTGCCTTCAATCCTCTGACTGGAAGGTAGGCAGTTTGATATGAGAACTTTATAATAAAATAAAATTTAAAAATGGGAAAAACATACCAATAAAGTAAAAATACTGATACTGTCTGTTCCAACCTTTCTGTTTTATAGGATTGTTGGGAAAGTTTGCTGCTCCTCCAAGGCTAAATATAAGCATTCCAATTCTTCTATATAATTAGAAGAGGTGAGTTCATTGAGTAGTGTGAAAAAAACATGTGGCTGAGGTGCTTTTTAGTGCTTGAATAACAATTAATCCTTCTTTTTGGGAAACCTATCTGGCTCTTTCTCACAGAACCTCATTGTCTTGTCAATTTGTTCAGTTATCTGTTGGAGTCCTCTGTAAAAAAAATCTGATTTAAAAAAAAAAAAAAGATTTTCAGGTTTTACCACCAGATGTAAAACAAGTGATAATTATAAGCCTCTGGTATTTCTGAAGCCATTTTGAGAAGTATCACGTCAGATATTCTCTGTACACGTACTTCTCAATTACAAAGATGTCATGTGAAGGGAGGGTATCAGGAACTTCAGAAGACTGTAACTTTTGAACACTGCTTTAGCCCAAATAACATAAAAGGCATCTGATTAGTTGAGATGGTTTATGATGAAAAACACATAGGTGGTTTTTTCTTACAACCTGTTCTCTTTTCTGTTTTTCCTAAAAGTTAACATGAACTATAAGGGTGGAAGAGGGGTACAGAACAGTTACACATTTTACCAGTTCACAGAACAAGAATGAAATAGGAAATAGTGATTCTACAGAGGCTTATGGTTAGTCTTTGTTCGCCAAAGGCCTATATATATGCATTCACTACAGGCATAAATCTACAAGTGGAACAGGCTGGGAAAAAAAGATATACTGTCAACAGTTTTGTTATGTGGTGTAACATTCAAAGTGTTGAAAAATATTTCTTTGTTATGAAATTATGGGCATGTTTTAGCTTTGTTTTTAAGCAACAGTGTCTCACCAAAACAGAGATGCTTAATGCTGTATTCTGAGACCTCTTCTTGGTTTATGATTTAAAACATATGATTTCGAACTGAAACCAGGGCAGATATAAAAATATAGTGACTGTACATGCAATTTGAATTCAAAGGCTGTAATTCTAGATTTGGTAGGAACTCAACATCAGTTGTGATGTAATGTCCTTAAAGACCAAGTAAAAATGTTTACCTTTTAGTTACTGCTTTATTTAGTATCCATTATAACAACTTTTCCTAATCAAAGCTATTATAATTCTGGAACTACTGCCTCTTGCTGAATGGTTTTGCAATACAGCTTAAGCCCTGTTGGAGGTTGCTATTAAAAGAAGAGAAAGGTCCCTCCCACATCTTGCATTTCCTTTCCCCCTGCTCACCACTGCGTATTCGCACTGTTTACCCCAAGTCAGCTCTAGTGCTGACTGCATGGCAATTCAATTCACTAAAATGACAGAAAATTAACCAGGCAAAAAATTAGTGAATAGTGCACTTTACCCTAAGATAAATTATAACAAACTGAGCTTTCCGTGGGAATATGTGCTTAAATAGTTCTAATTCTGGCAGTATGTTCCTGCTCCTGTCCTGCCACACACTGTGCTTTCAGGGAGTAATTTACCATTGGCTTAAACCGATGACTTAATAAAAAAGGGCCAAACTAAGCTTGTGCTGATTCTGATTTTTGCAAAATGCCCACAGAAGTTCATGTGGATGAGTGACCTGATCTGAACTGCCATGCAACCACACAAATACCAGTCTGTTACAAGGAAGGAGGCAGAAAAATGTGGCTTAGTTGAAAAGAATGGCAGGATTGTTTCCCTATGTCCAGCACTTGTGAGATCATAGCTAGAATACTGTGTCCAGTTTTGGGGTTTCCCAGTACAAGAAAGACACTGGCAAACTGCAAGGAATCCAGCAGAAGGCCATCAAGATGGTTACAAGGGATCTCCAAAGGTCCCTTCCAACGTAAATTAGTCTATGATTCTGCAAACAAGCAGCTGTGGAGGAAGAGAGGGAATCCAGATCCTTTGAGACAGGGGTGTTGCTAAAGCCATTGTTGTGAAAACACAGCCCCAGGTTCTCCCAGAGCAAGGGAGTGTTAGCTTGCTTTCATATGCAGTAGTTGATTACAAAACATTTTACTCCCTTCTTCAGGAGAAACTGAACTGCTGCCAATTATGGGGATTACATCAGGAAAGATGAGCTAAAAGAAGGGAAGACAGGTCTGCACTTTTATAAAGATAGAAAAATCAGATGGTTCATGAGAAATTTGAACAAACAGGTGGGAGACAGACAGAAGCAGCAAACCTACTGCTCTGAACTAATATGCACAGCATATAGTCAATGGGATACCATCTGCTTATATCATTCATTTTACACAATTAAACTCTATATTGCAATGGAAGTTTGTCAGATCTCTAAAAAGTTAACCTGTATTGCAATTGCATAAAGTGGTTCAAAAAAAATGAGTGAATAAACAAAGTAATTACTTACAAGTACAAAGAATTGGTATTTGCCAGTTGCACAACTTGAGTTTTTACAGGTTCTACTGCAATCAGTATATCTTGTTCTATAGCCATAGGAAGCACAGCATAACCACAGTAGTCTATATGTTCTCCTACCAGAGAAACAGACAATTAAAATATTTTGGAATAATTCTTTCTAGAATAGCAGTAACAGGGCTTCTACAGGGGTTCAGTGTTGTTTACTGTACAAGACAATTTCTGAGTATAGTCTCAACTCCTCTTATTTACAGTTTGGGGTGCATTTCCTCCATTTCATATTGCTGCACAAAAGTTTTGTTTTCTTTAGCTATTTTACCTATTGCCTCTATTTATAAATCTTCATGTTTTAACATTGGCTTATAAAAATTTTAAAAACACTATGTAGATTATTGTCCAGCAATGAGAACAGCCACATTATTCAATATTGTTTTGACAGTACAAAAAATTAAGTTAAATCAATCACATTTAACTGGTGACTGAAAGAGATAAAGGCACCAGATGATTCCTCATTATGTGATCTCCTCTGTTCATATGGGTGATTAATTAGCCACTAGATAAGGCTTGTGGTGGAAATTTTTTTTTTATAAAGTTTCTGGACCTTTTTCCAGTAAGATAATAATAATATTTAAATAAACATTAATACAGTTACATACAACACATAAAATAGCATTCAAATAGAGAATTCATGTAGTAGACATAATCTCTCTTAGGAATAATTCCCAGCTGGCATACGTTGTCTATTTAATTTATATGGTATGTTCACATAACACCAAGATTAAAAACTATCATTAATTGCACAATGGACTAATTAATTTTTAAAGATGTTTTGCAGGATCCTTTTACTTACAGTGTCTTCAAATGTGTAGGGTTACTTTATGAACATCCAAGAAACTGAGCTCTAAGGAGAGCACAGTCCTAACATGGATAGAGAAATCTCAAAAATAAGGCTGCCACAGAAATACAAGTAAATCTTAAATACAAAATAATTGCGTCTCTCCAGTCTGACAGTGAATCACAACCAACTGTTCTTAAGTTCTGTGGACATATCTCTATAGAAAAGTAAAGAAGAAGAGATGATGGTAGAATAATTTCATTAGTATTTAGGTTATCTTTGGTAACCTAAATTATACTGGAAGATAAAAAAAATATACTAATTTATTTTGTGGATGCACTATTCATCAACTACTTCAGATTAGATTTCCAAAGCCTTTCAAAAAATGGTATCCAACCATAAGCTGGAAAGTTACTCCAATTTTCAAAACCATCACTACTGCCCATAAAGAGTTTTTTTCAAAACTGATATTTGACTGTCCAGTTGTTTATAATAAGGTGTCATGAAAGCTAGTAAAGTATTATATTCTCCTTTCCATTTATCACAAGCAGCTTCTCTGAAAAAAAAAAAAAAAATTAAGACCAACAGTATTTTGATTCTATGTCTTAAACTACTAGGCTTCCATGATGGCAGATAATAAAATAAAGTAAAATAAAATAAAATA